GGGAATTTGGGTATCCTGGGAATTTGGGCGTCCTGGGAATTCGGGCGTCCCAGAAATTTGGGAGTCACGGGAATTTGGGCATCCCGGTGGGAATTACCTGGGAATTTGGGCATCCTGGGAATTTGGGCGTCCCGGGAATTCGGGCATCCCGGTGGGAATTCCCTGGGAATTTGGGCATCCCGGGAATTTGGGCATCCTGGTGAGAATTCCCCGGGAATTTGGGCATCCCGGGAATTTGGGCATCCCGGTGGGAATTCCCTGGGAATTTGGGCGTCCCAGGAATTTGGGCACCCTGGGAATCTGGGCATCCCGGTAGGAATTCCCTGGGAATTTGGGCGTCCCGGGAATTTGGGCATCCCAGTGGGAATTATCTGGGAATTTGGGTATCCCGGGAATTTGGGCATCCCAGGAATTTGGGCATCCCGGGAATTTGGGCATCCTGGTGAGAATTCCCCGGGAATTTGGGCATCCCGGGAATTTGGGCATCCCGGTAAGAATTCCCTGGGAATTCGGGCGTCCCGGGAATTCGGGCGTCCTGGTGGGAATTACCTGGGAATTTGGGCACCCCGGGAATCTGGGCATCCCGGTGGGAATTCCCTGGGAATTTGGGCATCCCAGGAATTTGGGCATACTGGGAATTTGGGCATCCCGGTGGGAATTCCCTGGGAATTTGGGCATCCCGGGAATTTGGGAGTCCCGGGAATTTGGTCATCCCAATGAGAATTCCCCGGGAATTTGGGCATCCCGCTGCCCCTGGGTGCCCCCGCCCACCCCTGGGTGCCCCCCGCAGGCCCTGGAGCGCCGCGCCGCGCCCCTGCCCGGGGGCGAGGAGGGCGAGTACATGCTGGCCCTGAAGCAGGAGCTGCGCCGGGCCATGCGGGGGCTCCCCTACTTCGTCAAACCGGGGGCTCCCCGCAGAGGTACCGGCCCGGACCCCCCCCGTGCCCCGGACCCCCCGTTTTATCCCCCACCCCATTTTATCCCCCTGTTTTACCCCCCTGTTTTACCCCCCTGCCATTTTATCCCGCTCATTTTATTCCCCTATTATTTATTCCCCCCCATTTTATTCCCATTTTTTATTTCCCCCCATTTTATTCCCATTATTTATTCCCCCCATTTTATTCCCATTTTATCCCCCCATTATTTATTCCCATTGTATCCCCCCCATTTTATTCCCTCCATTTTATTCCCCTATTATTTATTCCCCCCCATTTTATTCCCATTTTTTATTCCCCCCATTTTATTCCCATTTTTTATTCCCCCCATTTTATTCCCCCCATTTTATTGCCCCAATTTTATCCCTCCATTATTTATTCCCCACTTCTATTCCCTCCATTTTATCCCTGCATTATTTATTCCCCCCATTTTATTCCCATTTTATCCCCCCATTATTTATTCCCTCCATTTTATTCCCCCCATTTTATTCCTCCCATCATTTATTCCCCATTTTATCCCCACATTATTTATTCCCCATTTTATCCCCCCATTTTATTCTCCTCATTTTATCCCCCCATTATTTATTCCCATTTTTTATTTCCCCCACCCTGTGTCCCACAGGTGTCCCCAGGGGTGGGTGTCCCCTAAATCCCCCCTAAAGTGTCCCTAAATCCCCCAGAGTGTCCCAAACCCCCCAGAATGCCCCCAAAACCCCCCAAAATGTCCCAAAATCCCTCGAAATGTCCCCAAACCGCAGACATCGAGCGCTACTCCGACAAGTACCAGCTCTCGAGCCCCGTGGACAACGCCATCGACTGGAACCCAGGTGGGGGACACGGGAGGGGTCCTGGGGGGGTCCTGGGGTTGGTTTTTTTTGGGGGGTGTCCCCAACCTCCTGTTTTGCCCCCCCAGACTGGAGGCGGCTCCCGCGGGAGTTGAAGATCCGCGTGCGGCGGGTGCGGAAAGGCCGTGAGTGTCCCCTCCCTGTCCCCTCCCTGTCCTCACCCACCCCCTGTGTCCCCTCCCTGTCCCCTCCCTGTCCTCACCCACCCCCTGTGTCCCCTCCCCCTGTGTCCCCTCCCTGTCCCCTCCTTGTCCTCACCCACCCCCTGTGTCCCCTCCCTGTCCCCTCCCTGTCCCCTCCCCGTGTCCCCCCTGTTCTGGTTTGAAAGCAAAACCAGTGAGAGACTCCCAAGTGACAAATTTCTTAGGAAAAGGGGAAAGATAATAATAATTATTACCATTATAGAATACTTTATAATTGAAATATAACTATTATAATCAAATAATTTAAAGAAAAAAAAAACACAGAGTCGGAATCCAACCTGACACCCTTTTTGGTCAGGGAATTGGTCAGGAAATTGGAATGGCTGCAGTCCTCCTGATTCTGTCGAAGCAGTGATCCTGTAGAAGGGTAAATAAAATAAATAATAGACAAATAAAATAAATATTGCCTGGAAATCTGGGACACCCGTTCTATAAAAAGGGTGTTCTGAAAATCCACTGGAAAACCCAGCTGTTCCTCTTGGAATCCAGAAAAAAAGCTGAGTTTGGTGTCCCAAAAATCCAGATTATATCCAGGTAGGAATTCTTGGCTCCTCCCATCTCACTGTGGGATGCTGTAATTTTATCAGCCACGGTGCATTAACAGGTTGATTTGTGATAAAGAAAACTGCCCAATTATCAGAACGGATGGCAAATAAAATAAATATTGCCTGGCAACCTGGGACACCCCCCCTTGATTGCCAACCCTCCTGTGTCCCCCCAGGGACCGCTGCCCTCGTCCCCAAGCAGCGCGTGGCTCTGGACAAGGAGGAGGCTCTGAAGAAGCTGGAGGTAATGGGGTGAAGCTGGATTTTGGGGTGGATTTTGGGGGTGGATTTTGGATTTTTTCCCCCCTCCCCCCACCAAGTAACTCTGAGCCCCCCAGAGCCTGGAGAAGAAGGAGGAGGAGGTGACATCAGAGGAGGAAGAGGAGAAGGAGGAGGAAGAAGAGGGAAAGGAGGAGGAGGAGGAGGAGTACGATGAGGAGGAGCACGAAGAGGTGAAAAGGGGGGGACACCGGGGGGGTTGGTGGGTGCTCAGGGATCCCCGGGGTGTCACCGTGTCCCCCCGGTGTCCCCCACAGGAGACCGACTACGTCCTGTCCTACTTCGACAACGGGGAGAGCTTCGGCCCCGACAGCGACGACAACGGCGACGAGGCGGTGTACTGAGCCCCGAAATGGGACACCCCGAAATGGGGACACCCCAACAACGGGGACACCCTGAAATGGGGACACCCCCACAACGGGGACACCCCGAAACGGGGACACCCTGAAATGGGGACACCCCAACAACGGGGACACCCCAAAACGGGGACACCTTGAAATGGGGATACCCCGAAATGGGGACACCCCGAAACGGGGACACCCTGAAATGGGGACACCCCAACAATGGGGACACCCTGAAATGGGGACACCCCAACAACGGGGACACCCCGAAACGGGGACACCCTGAAATGGGGATACCCTGAAATGGGGATACCCTGAAAAAAGGGACACCCTGAAACGGGGACATCCTGAAACGGGGACACCCTGAAATGGGGACACCCTGAAATGGGGACACCCCAACAACGGGGACACCCCGAAACGGGGACACCTTGAAATGGGGATACCCCGAAATGGGGACACCCCAAAACGGGGACACCCTGAAATGGAGATACCCTGAAAAAAGGGACACCCTGAAACGGGGACACCCTGAAACAGGGACACCCTGAAATGGGGACACCCCAACAACAGGGACACCCCAAAATGGGGACACCCGGAAATGGGGACACCCCGAAAAAGGGGACACCCTGAAAATGGGGACACCCTGTAACCCCTTGGGGACGCTGGGGTCCCTGTCACCTCCCCAGGGGACATTGGGGTCCCTGTCACCTCCCAGGGGACACCCTGTAACCCCTTGGGGACATTGGGGTCCCTGTCCCCCCTCTTGGGGTCGCGGGGTCCCCTTGTCGCCTGCCGTTCTCCGTTCCACCACCAGGTGGCGCCGGTGCTCCAGGCCCGGAGGGGCGGGACCCCCACACCCCCAAATTTTGGGGTTTTTTTAAATTTTTTTTTTTTTTTTTTTTTGGGAGTGAATTTTGTGTGAATTGAAGAGAATTTGGATATTTCTGGCTCAGCTCTTGGTGCTTTTCACGCGTGGGGGGGGGGGGTTGGATAAAGGGGTTACCACGACTATAAATGAGGACAGGGATTTTGGGGGGGATTAAATGTGGGGTTTTTTTGAAGTGGAAAATGCATTTCTATGAAGGGAAAGGTGGTTTTTTTCTTGGGGGGAGGGAAGGTTTTATGGGGAGGGAAAGGTGGGTTGTTTGGGTTGAAAAAAGCAGGTTTTGGGAGATACAGGATTTTTTGGGGAGAACGGTTATATTTTTGGGTGGGAAGGTGGATTTTTTGGGGAGTAAAGTATAGTTTTGGGGAGGGAAACTTCTTGTAGGTCAAGTTATCTTTTTGGGGGAAGAGATGTATTTTTGGCGAGGGAAAGGTATGTTTTGGGTGGAAAGTGCATTTTTGAGGGAGGAAAATTCGGTTTATTGTGGGGGAAGTGTTCTTTGGAGGGACACGGTGTATTTTTTTTAATAACATTTCAGGGTTTTAGGGGATAGGGTGGATTTTGTGGGAGGGAAAAGTTGTTTTTATTTTCCTGGGATGAGTTTTTGGAGTGAGAAAAGTGGATTTTTTTTGCGGGGAGAGACTTTTTTGGTGGGGGGAGACAGCTCTGTTTGGAGGGGTGGGGAGCGTTTTGGTGGGGATAAAGATTTTGGGGCGGGGGGGGAGGTGATTTGGGGTGTTTTAATTTAGGTTTTTTTAGGAGGAAGGAGGTTTTTTTCCTCACAAGGGGGTGTGTTTGTGCCGCAGGATGGGGGCGGGGGCTGCTCACATGAGCGTCACATGCTGGCCCCTCTCCCCCCCCTCTGGCAGTTCCTGTTTGAGGCCAGGAACGCTCCAGAAAATGTGAATTTCCAGCTTTTTATCCCCGTTTCCCCTATTTCCAGGCATTTATGGGAACCCCAATGCTTTTTAGGGGGTGGGATCTGTCCCCCCGCTGAGTTTGGGGAAAGATTTGGGATTGGGCAAAGCGCCCAAATCCCTTTGGGACATGCCTTGTCCAGCTGCGTGCCTCAGTTTCCCCGGTGCTGTGGGGGCCCTCCTCAATTTTTTGGATTTTTTGGGGTCCCCCCTGGGTGCTTCCAGCTCGATCCCAGCCCAATTTTCCCACCCCATCCCAAGCCTGGAGCTTCCCAGTGCTCCCAGTTTAGCCCCTTTGGCCCAGTTGGAACCAGTCGGGAATTCCGGAGCCGAGAGCTGCCCTGGGGTGGGGGGGGGAACCCCCAAAACCCCCCAAAAAAACAGGGAGAAACCCCCCAAATCCTGCTCTGGCACACGGCGTTAATTATCTTAATTAAAGCTGTCAATTTGGCAGGAGAGGGGGTGAGTGCAGCCCCACAGTTTGGGGTGGGGGGTGCCAGAACCTTTTCCAGGGGGGAAAAAATCAACAATTTCAGGGGAGCGGGGGTGTCTCCCAAATTATTTTTTTTTTTTTTGGGGGGGGATGGGGGGGTTGTCTGTGCCCTCCCCCCTCTTTTCCCATTTTCCCACAGCCCATCCCTGGCCCGGAGCAGGATGACTTTTTGCCTACTTGGCCAGCAGCCAGAATGGCTCCGTTCCAAAAGGAAACTGAGGCACGGACTGGGATAAGGATGGTGGGGGAGGAAGGCAGAGCAATTTTTGGGGGGGCTCCAAGTGGGAGAGAGGGTGGGAAGCAGAGCCAAGGTCACGGCCTTGTTATTCGACAGCAGCAACCTTTCACCCAGATCCCAAAAAAGGCAGGAATAGCAGGAAGGTTCCCCTGCCTCAGTTTCCCCACTCTGCACCCCGTCTCTGTGCCTCAGTTTCCCCTCCTCTGTGTGTTTTTTTCGTTTTTTTTTTTTTTGCTTTTCCCCGGGAAAAAAAACAGGAGATTCCAGCAGAGCTGCTCACAGAAAATCCAGAAGTTAGGAAAAAAATATAAAAAAACCCCAACCTGTTTATTTATTTTGAATTTTATATTAAATAATTATTTTAAAAAATAAAAACCCACTCCAAGGTGGGCGGGTTTCCTGCCATCCTCCCACCCCCCCCCAAGAACAGACCAAGAGATCCGGGCGCCATTTCATTCGTTTATTACAAACTTTGCCCCCCAGGGGCCACAAAAAAGGTACAAAATTTGCATTTTTGTGCTTCCCCCCCACCCCCGAACACTATGTACAAAACCCAAGAGTACAAAAGGTCGCGATACCGAGCTCTGTGTCACGACAGGACGGATTCCTGATGTCCCAGTGTCCCCCCACCTCCTCCCTGGGCACTGGGAGTGCAGAGCAGCCGGAGCAGCAGCACCCAGAGTTACAAAATCGGGATGGAATTCATTCAAACCACCATTTCCATGTCACGACAGGCAGCGTGCGTCCCGACAGCTTCTCCTGCTGGTTTTTTTTTTCCCAGCTGGATTTTTGCCTCGAGTCCCCCCCTTCCCCCCCAAAAAAAAAATCCTCTTGGAGGGTTTTCCGGCAGCTCAGAGCGGATTTTGCGTTTTCCTCGAGGTTCTCGGGACGGAGCGGCGGCTCCTCGGGAGCGCGGTCCCCTCCCTCCTCCAGGTGTCCCGGCCAGATGTGCTGCAGCTGTGCGGCACAGCCCAGCTGTGGAGCTCACTGCACGTTGTTGTTGTTGTTGTTGTTGATGCAGGGATCCACCTGGGCGGCGGAGCAGGACGCGGGTGAGGGATCCAGGCGGGGGATCCCGGATCCGCCCGGGCCCTCCTCCCGTGCCGCCGCCGGGCTCACCTCCGTGTAGGTGGGGGGAGGCATGAACTTGAACTCCGGAGCGTACATGAAGATGGGGCTGTCAAACCCGTCGGGATCGTCCAGCAAGGGCGTGGTGGGGCTTTCCAGCCGGTGATCCTCGGGAACGATGTCCAGGTAGCACGGGGGGGCTGTGGAGGGACGGCGAGGGACTGGTGAGCTCGACTGGGAAGCCACTGAGGGGCTGCCACCACACTCTGTGATCCCAGCCCACTGTGATCCCACCACTGAGGATCCCACCACTGTGACCCCCACCCCACTGAGGAACCCACTCCACTGTGATCCCACCATGATCCCATCACTGATTCCCACTACTGTGACCCCCACCCCACTATGATCCCACCGCTTTGATCCCATCACTGAGGATCCCATCACTGTGATTCCCACCCCACTGAGGAACCCACCCCACTGTGATCCCACCATGATCCCACCGCTGTGATCCCATCACTGTGATTCCCA